ATACTATTAGATTCACCTATCCTACGGGATAAGGTAAAGTATTATATAATCGATATCGATATAATAGCCCTTAACGGAGATAGCGTTAGTATACTAGTCCTACGATTAGTATAGCTAGTAATCGAAGAAGAAGTAACGGAACTCTTCGAAACCCATAGAGTTATAGGATACTACCCGTGACCCTTTAGATAAAGCGACGTGGTAATAATCGATAAGCCTAGGAAAGATACCGGTATCATGGCTAGATATAGGCCTATCTAACTACTTAGCGTACTCGGTAAAGGCCTAAAACGTATTATAGTAAGGAGGACGGTATATAAAGCTATAGTCGCCGGTATACTAAATCCCTAGTATATCGGAGCCTTACTAGGAAGGTCGATAATCGACCTCGTGGTAGTCCTTATATATAAGGTTAAGTTATAGCTAGTATAGGGGAAGTAGATTATTACTATGACTAATAATATAACAGGAGCGTTTAATATAGTTCTGCATGGATAATTCGTATATAGGCTCCGGAAATAAGGATAGGACCCCCCTATAATTAGGTGGTAAGAGAGCTTCGCCTCCGAGAGAAGCGCTTATATTATCTTCGGGGCCTCCTACCCGTATAAGTATACCCCGCTAAACCCTATAGGTTTACTATAAGCATCCTTAGCCTCCCCGATTAGATATACCCTTAGTATCGTAGATATATATAGGCTACCTGATAAGGGGAACTGATTCGGATATATAGATAACTCATATATTATCGCCGCCTATACGGACCTTAATAAAGTAGTAACGGCCGTGACTAGGATATTAGAATAATAACTTTAATAGTATATAGACAATACCGTGGAACTAGACTTCGATAAGGCTAAAGCCTAGCTCTTCTTATAATAAAAGATCCCCTAATTCCTTACTATATCGGTAACCCGATTCGATTACGAGGTTAAAGTAGCCTATACTATAGATCACTAAGGCCGCTTCTACCCGGCCCCGATAAGATAGCTTAGTATCTATATAGATAGGAAACTTAAATTCGACTCCTACGTTAAGACGTGGGTAAAGAAGGGCCTTAAGGTTACTAACTATATTCGAGGACTTACTAGCTCCTTATACCACCCGAACCCCGCCTTACTTAGGAGAGCCGTACTAGTATACATCCTAATAATAACGCACTATACTATGGAAATCTAGTAGGTAGGATATATATTACCGGCCTAGGAATGCACTAATATAATTAGTAAAAAGTAGTGCCGGTCCCTACCGGGATACCCCCCTAGATAATAGGTAATAACCCGCATATAGATAACTATAAAGCGGGTAGTTCTACCAACCTAGAAGATAGTTTATATATTAGCCCTATACTAGGAGTCTAGTATACCCTCCGTAAAGTAATACGCCGAATACCTCCGCTAGCGATATACTATACGGGTTATAGGCTTAGATAAGGACTATCCGGTAATATAGACCGTTATCCTAGTTATACGCGGCGACGCCCGGAAAACTAAGGCACCGGTACGGCGATTAAGAATCCTCCGGACTAAGGACTTAGTATATATAAACCCCCCCCCTGGGCACCCTTTAGTATAACCCTGATTCAGCGGAAGGTCGTGGAAAGAGAGGATACTATTCGATAGTAGACCTAAGGATAAAGCGGCGGCCGTGTTTATAATATAGTTAGACTCCTTACCCCCGGACTATACCCTTATATTCTCGGATAGGTTATAGAAAGGGTAAAATATAACCCAAGCCTTCTCTATCTAGCGCAGAGGAAAAGAGATCACATTTAGCCGCGGACACCTCCGTAATACAGAGGAATTTAATAAAAAGGTAATAAGAGTAACTAGAGGCCTGGTAGTAGTATTACGCCTACCCGATATAAGCAATATAATATACTATACCGATAATTAAGCTATTATAAGGTAACTCGCTAGAACCGTCCCGTAGTTATCCAGGTACGAGTTTCTTCGGTAATAACGACTAGCCTTCGTTAATAAGGCCTAGCTACCCTAGGCACCGGGTTATATAGGGATACCGGGTAATAAGAGGGCTAATAAACTATATAGTATAGAAGATATATAGGGGATACTACCTAAGAACGAGAGGCCGACCTAGGCAAGCGTTAAGGTATAAGCTATAGATTACTATAGAACCAGGCTTCGAAAATAGTATATAAAGAACCGCCCCCGCGGTTACACGATAACGCTATAGAAAAAGCTAGGATTTAGAAGATAGGAGCCCGAGGACCTCCGATTACCTCGTAGGACACTTATACGCCTTATATAGGCACGCACTAAGCATAAAGACTTTAACGACTACTACCGGCGATTATATCACGAAGACTATATCGCGGACTATAGCTACGGTTATAAGAAGACCCGGGAGCACTTCGCCTATTACCGTAAGGTCACGAATACCCGTAAATAGCCACCCTAGCTATAGCACTATAATAAGAATAACGGGGATCGGACCTATAGATTTAATCCTAAGGAGACCCTTATAAAGATCCTCACGAATAGGGTGGTATTCGTCGCCCTTAACGATATAACAGGATTCCTAGATAGGATTTACCTATTACCCTTAAGGAGGGGCGTACCTATAACCTAATAGAGGTATAGATACCGGAGAAGGAAAGGCATAAAGGCCCCCGCGGGTATATCGCGAGATAGCGAGATTCCCTTTATTATTTTATTAATAATCTATCTTATACACTATATTAATAGCACAGTATAGGATTAAGTTTATTTTAGTGAAAAAGGTTATAGAGTTAAGCGCTTAGCACTATATAGTCTTAGCATATATACATAGAATCCGCACCGCCCAATACTCTAATAGGGAGCGCGGTCCTAGTCTTCACTAGGTACTGCCAAGGCGTTAAATAGAAACACACACACACACACACTAGATTAAAAACGATAATTACTAGTATCCTAGAAATTACGGAATAGTATCTCGAGTATATTAAGTTCGATATAGAAGAATATAAGAATAGTAAGTATCTAGTTATATCGCTCCTAAGAGATCCTACATTCGAGTTATAGTTATTTTATATTACGAATAAATAAGGTTATCTTCTAGTCACTATAAATAAGAATAAGACCTTTATTAACGGTCTGCTTATTATCTAGACCTGAGGGTTCCCTAAAAAGCTCTTCGTGTAATATATACACCCTAGTAATAGTGCCTTTATTCTTAAATATAGTACTTAGCTATAGATATAGGCTATTCTTATAGCTAACCCTTGTAACGATTAGTAGTTTAGACTTATTCGTATCAGATAGGAAGATACCAGTAATAGTATACCAGATTATAAAGCGGGAGGCCTTATTAAGTAAGGGCTTATAACGGATTAGGTAGTTTAGTATTATCTTCTAAGTAAAGGGTATAGTTAAGTCGACCTAGAGATATATAATAGGGCCGCTAAGTTCGGGGTATTATATGATTAACGAGTTGATTAGGGTAATAAACTAATTCTATTTAGATTTAGCTAGGTCCCTAACTAGATTTAAGAAGTTGAACTTATCGTATACTATAATAGCGTTCGAGTTATAAGCTATATATTCAATATCGGCTAGTATAATAGCTGGCCTATAGAATATAAAAAAAGGCTTATAGTACTTATGACTATGTCTTCGATATACGATTTAGTAAGTTACTTATATATCTATATAATATAGAGATACTAAGTCGAGCTATACTATTAACTATACGTCGAGTCGTTCTATTAGATAAAAGGTATAAGCCGATACCTTATCGGAGGAATAGCATACTTCTCTCGGTATAGCTAGAGAGTAATAAAGATATAATAAGCTATACAGAAGGCTATTCGTTAACGTCGATATTAGCCGCTATCTAGTTTATTATAGTCTTAGCCAAAGCCTTCTATTGTATTATTAGCCATCTAATTAAGGCTAGAAGACGAGGTACGTTTATATTTAGAGTATCATAAACCACTTAAAGTGTTTTATTTAACTATTTCGTCTCGTAGACCTAATTGACTATTATCTCGCTATTGTATATATTATAGTCGTTAGTAGGGTCGAATACCTTAAAGCCACTCTTATCCCTTAGGGCCTTTAGCTCTTAACGAATATTAAGAGAATTAAAAGCCTAGTTATCCCACGACTTATCGTCCGTAGTAATAGTAACATCCTATGCCTTTATACGGTTCGATACTCTAGAATTATTAGTAAGAGCCTCCTCAAGAAGACGGGCCTAATAAGGAGATTTAACCTAGGAAGTAATAAGGGGTTTAATAGACTAGATCGTATTAGCTCTATAGCGGCGAGCTTTAGCACGTTCTTTATACTAAAAGTTAAGTGTTAACTCGACGATATTACTAGGCGGAAGCTCTCTATCTTAGTCTCTATCTTAGTCTCTATCTTAGTCTCTATCTTTATCGCCTTCTTTATCGCCTTCTTTAATAGATTAAATAGATAGAGTAATGAATTAACTAGTAACTAGGGTGCTAGCGGCTTAGCTAGCGGCTCAGCTAGCGGCTTCGCTTAGTCCGCTTAGGGTAAGAACAAGCTCACTTTGCTTACTACTCGAATTAGCGTTTATCCTTATCAGATTACGGTAATAGTAGTATAATTAAAAAGCACTGATGTTTCCGATATTAATTACTAGACATTCACGGTTTTAACGAAGGTATAGTGGTTTTTTAGTTAAGAGTCGAAAAAGGGGTCGATCTAGTATTCGTTACCCACGGTTCTATTGATATTCCTGCCTTAGACTATCCTGCGGGCGAGTTCACGATTAATAGAATTAAGACCTCTAATTAGCTAGATATTTCGTATAGGTCTATATATACATATATCACTGGTAATTTTATACAAGGTAAATATCCACGCTATACTCGCCCCAGGGTTAGTCTGAGCTTGCTGAGATAAGAATAACCAAGTGCCCTAGTCGGACTAACCCCACCCTAGGTTATTCCATCCCGAGGGAGGTCTGCGCGACAGGAATAGGTATCCCGAAAAGATGCTCTAAGAATTTCCAGCCAACACATCACTAGAGAACCAACCGTATGGCCTGCTACTTGTTAAAATCCGTATATGTTCCTTGTCGAAACGATTTTTGATTTTTGCTGATCTCTTAAGTCACAAGCAGAACACAAGACCTACGGAAGTATCTTTCGAGAATTGACGGCGACGATGCCTATCTGCATTGAATGCCGTTACCCTGTCAAAACACTTTGGACTCAGTATTCGGGCGCTGGGGACAAATCCAGTGGTCATAATATCAGGCTTACTGTCTGCAAGAAATGTGGTTGCTTCTGCGACAAGTACGTCGAACATGACTTTGTTGTCCTGTTCATCGACTTGGTCTTGATTAAGCCACAAGTATATCGTCATTTACTTCACAATACATTGATGAAGGATGACGATAGTCTTGATGTAGCCCACCCACCCAAAGCATCCCATAATTTGCTGCTAAGCCCAAGCATGACTGACTTTCGCTAGGCCTCGATCCTGCGGCTCGGGCTCCTGTTGCTCCTGTTTGATGTTTACCTGACATGGGCGCGAGTCGAGAAACAGACAGACTCTGCTCATGTTCCCGATATGGGATCAGCCCTCAGCGGCCTAGCTCAACAGTCCATCGTGTCCCAGTATTTGTTCTTTTGTAAGTGGCAGAGCCCTGCCATTACCGCTTTCCCTCTTCGTGCTAAGCTCTGCGCTGATGACGCTGCAGTGATTCTTTGCGCTCTCTCGTCCCTCGCTTTCCACCTCAGCATTCGCTTCCTATCCACTTCTCGCCTGTCCCCCGTTGTGGCTCTTAGGCTTCTTTCCCGTTATACGCGCCCCAACTCCGTGTCGACCGCATTGCTCGTCTCGTCTTCCACCAAACTATTTCCGATCCTGATGGTAATATGGCAGTATGACGTCCCGGCTGCCGCACGCTCATTAGGTTGGGCTGTGGTAGCAAACAACGTCGAGGCTCTTCGGATTCTGCTTGATTGTGGATACGGGGTCGCTGCATTACTCACAACCACTGGTGCAGTAAGTCGCTGGGTTGTCGGTCGAAGCGTACTTTGGCTTGTCGGACTGCACAGCGTTGACTCCATGGGCGAGGCGAGTATTACAGCTGACGGAAAGGCATTGTGGGCGTTACTGATGTATGTGAGAGAGTGGGTTGGCCAACTGGCAGCTGGGTGATTGTGCGTTTGCTGTGCACCGCTCAGCCGGCATGTTTGAACGTGGTTTTCGTATGCAGGAATGAACATAGGACCAACTTTCGTAACTTTTATATGGCCAAGCCTGGGTCTCTTATTACTGCTTTTAATCCATGGCGATGATACCTGCTCTCGATTGACGATTTCCCATGTCCCAAGCTCCGGCTTCAACGTTGAAGTCTAAATGATTATGTTTCCCTGTGTACCGGTCTGTCGATTTGTGATACCCGCCTAAAATCGGCATCAAAGATGGACACTTCAGCTGAACCGCCTGAAACCGCGACCGTGGCGGCCTGGTATTTCCTTCTCTCCTTCATATCTATCAAGTGTTCAGAGTCTCTGACATTCAAGAGTGCAGATATTCTTTCCTTAAGTCGCTTCTCCGGGGTTCGATCAATGGATGAAGTTGCGCTAGGAATGTAATAGCCCACATGAGATAGCAGCACGAAAAAGCGAGAATGAGAGAAGAGCGCCAGATGCTATGGGAACACCATTAGCCAAATGTGTGTAAACTAGGCAGAGGAGCTGGGTCACCACTAACATTTGGTTCTCGCTTTTGGGTGCAAGAAACCATGCAGCCACGGAGAGAACTACAATGACCAGGAGCCCGATAAAGATGCTGTACCTGTTGGGACGTTAGCAATGGCCAATGGGACTTCCGAGCTGCCACGAAACAGCAGTATATAGATACCCTTGCGCCATATTCGCCTGACAGTTAAGAGACGCGTCTCAAGAGAAATGTGTTTTGTCGAGCTGATGCTTCGAGATACACTGTGGTAGCTTCCAGGGTAAAACTGTATCGGCTCGGCATAGCCGAGGCTGTTATCGAACAGACCATGGTCTGTTCGGTTACGTAACGGGCCGGATTGCCAAGAGTGTAATCCGGGTGGACACTTACAGAATCTTCACCACTAATATTACGGTGGCAGGAATCTCTGACGGTCTGATTATCGCATGGGCAGGACAACAATATGGTCTATAGGGGATCCAGGGGGGATCCACTCCATAACTAAGGGCTCCGGATATCGGGGACTTCGGGCATTAGGATATAATAAGGGTAAATACCGGAAAAGACCGGATAAGATCTAAATAACATAGTACTTATAACAGAGTCTTTACCACCTAAATTAAGGGAATAAAAGACTCTCCTAGATATAACTTTATATAATATATATATATAAGATTCCTGCTCTACTAAGTTAATTATATAAGTACTTATTTAACGTGCGACAGTTATAAGCCCGGTTTATAACGCCTAAACGATAGATATTAATAAGGCTATTCCTATACCACTATAAAGAAGTAATCACGTCTATATAAGTACTCTTAAATAACTATTATTAACCTAATCAGAGTAATTAAAAGATTAATCAACCTACTTATTAATTAACTAACCGATAAATAATAATCTAATAAAGATATCTTCTAATATATCTAACACCGAATAGAAGGCGGCCGCTATTACCCTTATTAACTAAACGGATTAAGTAGTTTAGGAGCGTGCTGTACGCGGTAACTCGGCCTCCTACTAGGATAATTACCTTAATCTAAAGCTAAGCGATAAGGAGGCTAACGCTTATCTCCTCCTTATACCTATACCCCCTAATATTTATAAATATAAAGCCCTTATTATAAACCCTAACACGGAGGAGGCCACGGCCACTATTATCACGGCTACTCCGTCTTCTACTATCACGCTAAAGGGCGATAAGGCCACGGATACTATAAAAGCCACGGCTACCACGGCCGCTACCACGGCTACTAGTAAGAAGAAGACGGCCGCCCGCTATAAGGCCACGGCCACGGCTATAACGAAAAAGCCCCTAACCAGGACGCCTACGTCTATTAATAACCTCTCTAAAAAAGGGCGTACGTATTACCTATAAGACCGCCGTGTATACCGCGAGGAAAAGGTAGACTATAACACGTAGTAGAAAGAATTTAATAAGGTATATTCCTATATCGAAGGAACTATCTATACCACGTTATATAACCTCCTCGCCTAGCTATAGAATAATACTATAAATAACCTATAGGCCTAGATTACCCTCCTACACGCGTACGCAGGACTAATACTTATAGACCTCCGTAAGGAAGCCCTAGTCCTATACCGATAATACACTACGCCTATAAAGGCTATACCTAAGGATATGGACGCCTAGGTAGTAAGCTAGAAAATAGCGATAATATACTATAAATATATAGGCGTTATAAAGCTATTAAGCGCGGAGTATTAGGCCGAAAATATATTAAAAGCTATTAGACCTATCGCCTAGGAATAAAGTAATAACTACCTAGTAAATAACTACGAGAAGATTACGGAAAATAAGCTAACGATTAACGACTTCGTAAAGGCTCTACGTGCGGTTCTTAGTAATATAAAGAGCCTATAATCTACCGCTATAAAGCCTAGAGTCGGGAGAGGCACCTTTAATACCCTTAGGAACCTCCCCGATACTAAGGATACTACTACTACTAGTAACGATAATAATAGGAAGCGCCCTTATAGTAATATATCCTTAAAGGCTATCCCTCCTATAATAGGGAGGCCTTATAAGATATACGAAAACACCTATACTACCGCCGCCTATTAGTACGTAAGGCCGGATGTACGCCCTTACACCTAGCGTGGCCGTGAAGATATTATAAAGGTTACAGAAAAGAAGATCCGTGATTATAGTTTTAAAGGCCGCGTAGACATCGCGATACAGAAAAGGCGGGAAGCCTTAGGGGCTATTACCGCTAATAAGATAGAGGAAGTCTAGGAAGATTACTCTATAATACTACGCTTACTATAGTTTATAAAGACCTGTTTATTACCGCGACGGGGAGACTAAGAGCCCCCCTAACCCAGGGGATAGCGTGTTATCGTACGATAATACTATTAAGATTATAATAGGAATAGGGGATATCCCTTTCTATTAACTAAGCTAGAGCGCTATTATACTACGCGATCCTGGACTTAGGATTGTTAATCTATATCTTTAATAATTAAGGCCGTTTTACAGCTATTAGACCACCCACGGTTAATTTATTAACGCTTTAGGTAGGTACTTATAAGGCTCCTATTCTCGGATACGGAGACGTTAAGCTATATATATAATCCCTATTAGGCATAAAAAGGCTACTACGCCTCTATAACATTATATACTATAAGGAATTCGTTACTAATATCGACTCGGAATACTGGCTACGCCTATAGGGTTATCGCTAGGATACCTTAAGTAATACTATTATTAGCTCCGCCGATAACCGGCCTATCTATAAGCTACTAGATATCCACGGCTAGTATATAATTAAGTGTGCGGAAGCCACGGCCGCTACTGCGTTCGCGGTCTTAGTAAGGCACCCCCGCGATAACCCGTATAGAAGATCACGATAACCGCGGTAACCGTAGAAGACTATAGTATAACGGTGGTATAAACGCCTCGGCTATTATAGCACCGATACTCTCGTAAAGATCGTTAACGCTACTTAGGGGGTAAAGATAAAGGGACCTCGTATAATAGACTATAACGCGTATAGGTAATCGTAAATACCTACGTAGATCCGGCGGATACTATCCCTTTACCCGTTAAAGCCCAGAGAGGCCCTGGCTATTAATTTTCACGATCTAGAAAAGGCGGAGTAATTGGCGGCGGACTATATAGGTCTATTATATTCGTTATAGATATATATGGGTTATATATAGGATTACTACCTATAGAAAAAAGACTAAGACTTTATCCTATACGCTTTAAAAGACGTTTTTACCCTACTTAAGGCCTAATTCGATATTAGGCCACGCGTTCTACGCGCCGATTCTAAGATATTTTAGCACCTAGAAATGATTACTTTCCTCGCTACTAAGGGGGTAAAAGATTAGCCGTCGGCACTATATTTATAGGATTAGAATAGCATTACAGAACGGATTAAAGGTATCGTTAAAAGGAGGGCAAGGGCCATAAGGATTAGGGCTAATCTACCTATATCTATCTAGTCTAGGATCTTTAAGACTACTATATATCTATATAATAGGACGCTATAATATATTAACGATTAGCGAACGCTATATAAAGGCCTACGCGGCTATTAACCTAACCTTACGCACCTATAAGCTTACGGCTATAAAGCCTTTATAAAAACGCGCGATACCTAAGCTAAAAGGAACCGCCTATAAAGGCTAGAACCGAAGGTATAGATCGGTTATTACGTCGGATACTAATCCTCGAATAGCTTCCGTATTTAGCTACTATACTTAACGGATATTATCACCATGAGAGATATAGTCTTTAACGAAGACGAGATATTTAATAGCAGGATTAAAATGCTATAAGCTATAGGTTCCGCTAAGGAAATCGGGGAATGCCTATAATCTATCCGTATCACCTAATCTAATAAGACCGTGAATAGGCTGCTATTAAGGGGTATAGCCATAGACGTATTAGATCTTACGTCGGAAGACTCTAACGCTACCGCTATTACTACGGGTAAAGGTAACGCTACCGCTATTACTACGGACGAAGGCGAGGCCGTCGCTATTACTACGAGAGAGGCCACTACTATTACTATAGACTATACTACTATTACTACGGGTACCGCTATTACTACGGATACTACTATTACTATAGGAAAAGACTATACTACTACTATTATTACGGGTAAAAGTAACGCCACCGCTATTACTACGGATAAAGGCGAGGCCGTCGCTATTACTATAAGAGAGGCTACTACTATTACTATAAATAAGGTTCTAAATCTATAGCCTAATTTATTAGGCTATAGATTTAGAACCTTATACCTCTAACGCTACCGCTATTACTATAGGAGAGGCCACCGCTATTACTACGGACACTTTACGGTTTACTATTCCAAGGTTTACACCGTTTCCCACGCCTTTAATATCCCCGGAAGATCCCACACGCGTATTCCTTATAGCGTTAGCAGTAGTTAGGGGAATTAAGGTGGAAGAATACGATAACTACTAATAGATAGCCGCGGATACCCCTAAGGGGTGCCTGTCGGCTGTACACCTATCGTCCGCGCGCCTATCTATTATAAGAACTATTATAAGTCTGTATACGACCGAGAAGGTCTAGAATAATAAGGCTTAAAAGGCGTTCTTTAACGCTAGCAGCACTTATAACCCTATACGCGCGAGGAAGTAAGCTATTAACGATAGCGATATCGGTATTATAGATCCCCCTTATATCTCCTAGCTACTATTATATATAACCCGCGAAGATCTCCCGCCTCTATTAAACCACCACCGCGATATACGCCTCTACCGGTTACGGGAGCGGTGGTTATAGGCCAAGGGGGAATACCTTAAGGGGCACCGATAGATAGGCTACTAGTCGGAGGTAAGTGGTGATTAGGCTAATAAGTAATAAGTCCTCGCCTATAGATAGGTATACACCTATAAATTTAATAAAGAGGGCACCCTCCTTAAGTATAAGGCACGCCTTATAGTCCGAGGGGATTAATAAAAACGGTTGGAGACTAAAAATAACTACGCCATAACGCTAGTCTCACGGGCTTTCTATATACTAATAGCGATCGCCACCTAATGTAACCTAAAGATAAGGCAGTTTAATACCGTTAACGCGTTCGCTAACGCTAGCCTTAAAGAAAAGGTATTTATAAAGATACCATAAGGCTATAAAGTACTAGGCAAGGTCCTACTACTACGGAAAGCCCTCTTCAGTTTAAGGGTATCACCACTACTATAGTAAGAGGAATTCAGCGGCACGCTATGGAGGATAGGCTTTATAG